TCCATGTCAAAGGTATTAACAACCTTGTTAGCACAAGTTAAAGCAAAGTCAGAGTCCCAAAATTATTCATAAGACAGTGTACACTAAAATAGACTTATTTAGCGGAAATCATAATATCCCTCTGGTAATGACGTGGCATGCTTTTCTATATAGTCTAAACTTCCACACAAACCTAAATCATATTCATGATAATGACATTTTATGAGTATTATATATATTTTGAAACCCTTAAATACTGATGGGAAACTGCGGACATCCATCTGATTCTGTTAAGCTCAGTGTGAGAATAATTAGGGGATTCTAGTTTTAATAATGATTATCAGTATATGATTGATCTATTTATATTATTTGTAAGTACTAAAACCCTCTACCCTGCACTTCAGCGAGAGGCATGTTTCTCTCAAGAGACCTAAAGAAAAATAATATAAGAAAAAAAGAAAACATACAGTAATGTACCTTTGCCTATCACCAGACTTCAGCTTTGAACATCTAAATACCGGCTTCAACTTGATGAAGCGTGGATCAATATGCTCCTCGCAAGCAGGATATACACGTTTCACAGTATGTGGAAGAGGGACTTCCCACCTGTATGCAATACTTATTATTGTGATTAACCTATGCAAAACACATATTGTGCGATATGATCAATCAATTTCAGGTATGATGCTGACACAACTCTTAATGTTGTATCAAAAGAGCTACTATTCTAGCTGGAGCCTGCATGTGAGGATCTGAAATAATTAACATGGCCGGTTCCAGGCCTGCGTAAAGTAAGTTGGTTAACAAGTTTAACTTTGTTAATCTGAAAGTCAAAACCTTATGAGGAACACAGGAAGGACAAGAACACTGGCGTCAATTCGTTTTTATGGACAAGTCATTCAGTTCCATGAGAAGCTAATATAACATCCAGGCTAAACGCGGTGTTTTACCCAACTAGTGTATTCAAAAGGTTTTCAGGGTAACTGATCAAAAAGAAAAAAAAATGAGACAGTTGATTCTTATATGAACTCTAAATATGTCGAGAGTCTGAAAAAGGTTGCTCTAGTCAATGAAATTGAGGATTTATAACTGAATGGAAAATTTATACTCCATTGTGACAAAATTTTTGGAAAGTAATTGAACATTAAACATAAAAGTTTAAATGTTTATCTTGATAGAGTATGGCAAAAGAAGATCCATGCAACTGATACTAGATAAGGATGGGCAGAAAGATCCATTTTAGACATCATCATGAAGACATTTATTGCATATGTGAAAATTGATGCAAACATTTCGGCATAATATCAGTTCATCCATGTAGATACATTTCCTGCATAGTATTTACACGTATTTACACATATACACACAGTCACCAATCACATACACGCAACCCTGTTTCAGTT